AGAGCGCGTGGGTGCGTGATTGTATGAGTGTGCGAGTATGAGCTTATAAGTGTGTGAGTGCTGGCGTGGGAACGTGAGTGCGTGTGTGGGTGATTGAGTGATTGAGTAATTGAGTAGATCGGGCGCAAAAACATACATTTCAAAATACCTAAATATCACAGAACGAAAGCAAAAAAATTGATCAAAACATTACTTACTGCTGGGGCAATAGGTTGAGAAGTACTGATGAAAGGAATTGACCCATGCGAATCCATTTGGCCGTGGCGAGTTACAACGCCGACGACTCGAACGGCGTTTACCCCACCACGGTTTTGCCTCAAAAACAGAAACCAACAGCACTTCAAAGACCATGATTAACAGCAACAGCGACTTAACCAACATATTTTTTGCCATGGCAGTCTAAAGAAGAGAAAGGACACTCTGTGACATCATAGAAACAAGAAGCGAGTCCCAATGGAATATTTTTTTTTTTCTCTCGCGGTTTCTTTAAGTGCGAATTTGTAGGTGCAAAAGCAAAAATGTTCTCATTTTGGACGTTTCTTATTTTCCATGCATTAGGGTACGTTTAATATGCTTAAAATTTGTGATGAGGATCCTTTACCCTTATCACCGAGCGCGTTTTTTCACAAATTACCTCGACAGATTTACAGTTGCGAATGCTTTAACCTTCAAACGTTACTTATATTTCCAAATAATGACTTTTTGATTTCCTAAAGAAGTAATGGCTGTTTAACTATAAAACACTGCGACAATATGGAAAAACTTAAAACCATTTTGGTATAAAAACAACGACGACGTTTCGACGTCCGCTTAACGTCATTATCAAGACAGCTGAGTGAATAAAAAGGGTAGGAATTTAAATATAAACTAAGAATTCCTAAGAGACACGAATGCAAAGAAAACAATGATAAAAGATTGATAAAAAATTCTAAAAAGCGCAGAGTCACGTTAAAAGTTTGGCACGAATTGAGTCTTTCTGTGTATTTAACACAGGGCTCAATTCCTTAATGAAAAGCATTTCAAAAACTAAACAATCAAACTTCGATCTGCATTTCTTCAAAATAGGAAATTGTTTGTCCTCTAAAGCAGACTTCGTTAGTCCATGTTCCTCTATGTGCCTGCCAATTGCCGAGTATTTGTGTTCGCGGATGCGTTGATGTAAATGTCGGGTTGTGTAACCGACATAATCTGCGTCGCACAGATTTGTACCCATTTTATTCACTCAGTTGACTTGGTAATGACGTTAAGCGAACGTCAAAATATCGTCGTTGTTTTGAAACCAAAATGGGTTTAAGTTTTTTTAAATTGTCGCAGTGTTTTATAGTTAAATTGTTAAGGAAATCTCTTCTTCTAACGGCTGTCTGACAGCTAAAATTAGTAAATCGACCTCAATAAACGTAAAACCGGAAAAATTTTCCAACGAACCTTGGAAAAAGCTGAGATAATCGAAGGCAGATTGTTGTGAATATCCTTTGACTATAATCTACTCACCTTTAAGTTCTGTACTGTGCGCTAAGCAGACGGAGAGAACCAACAGGATAACGATAACACTTAAACAACACCTGTTAATTTGTAATATCAAACCTACAAGTGATGGGTATTTATGGCCTCAAGCCATGGTCATATACATGCGTGATGCAACTGCTGTAATCGACTATGTAAATCTAACATGTTTAGAACACGTGTTTATTACAGCGGTTATTAATCACACGCAACCTTCAGCGTCTAGACAAAACCTAAGTTTTGGTGGACGTCAACCATCTTCGCCTCCTTGCCGACTGTATGCAAAATTTACAAAAAAAAATCTGAAACCTTGCGGCGGTCAACTCGTAAAAACTATTATTTCACTTTCAGTATGCAGGGTTAGCTCACTAAATACATTGGCATTAAATATTCCTTTAAATTTTTAACTGAAGACAGGCGGGTAGGGTTTTTCAAGGGCCATTCGCATGCCTGAATGACCCCGAGATCAAGCAAATCTACACGCGAACAAATTATAATTGATTCTGCACATATTAATTGTCTCGGGGCTACGGACTGAACAAGACTTAAACTTCTTATAAACCTTAAAATTTTGTAAGGTAATAAGTTATAAGTATAGGTTTAAGTGTTGTTCAGTCCGTAGCCCCAAGAAAAATACGTGCAGAAATAATTTGTTTGCTCGCGTGTAGATTTGCTTGATTTCGGGGTCATTCATGCACGCGAATGGCCACTGAAAAACCCGACAAACGTCTTCATCTATAGATTTCAAGGAATATGCCAATGTATTTAGTGAGCTAGCCGTACATACCGAAAGTAAAATGACGATTTTCACGGGTGGACCGCTGCAAGGTTTAAGACTTTTTTTTAATCAGGTAAATTTTGCATACGGTCGGCAACCGGAGGCGAAGATGATTGAGTTCACCAAAACTTGGTTTTGTAAAGACGTTTTCGCGCTGAAGGTCGCGTGTGATCGATAACCGCTACAATACGAAAGCAAACAGAGGAATTTCTAATCTCTCGCAAACCGACGACATGGCTTTATTTACCGAGTTCTCTTCAACCCTCTTCCGTTATTTCCGGCAAAACAAGATTTATATTGATTACAATTCATGGCGCTAAAATAATGACAGGTAAACACAGAATAATAAGGAGCCCAATAAGGGATATTCTGTGACTGTGAAAGAGTGCAGGATCCCATATAAAAAACGATCACCGAAGAAATCGAAATCGATTTGGTATGCTTACTTTTATCACACAATTTTTTCGTGAAGGGGGAGGAGGAGTCCATAGCTGATCATGACGGATTTCGCGAAAAGAGCAAGAACAGATCAATCTGTATTAACATAGAGGCAGTGTTAGAGAATAGCGCTCGAACGCTCGCCCATAGGAGTGAAAAGCATCGGGTGAGTAGTATCATCAATCACTCGCCCGTTTGGCGAGTACGATTTATATTTTTGAGAAATTAAGAGAGGAGAAGTATTGGTAGCGCTCCTTTTTATATTCCAATTTTGGCAAGAGTAATTCTCAACGAAAACTTACCAGTGCTTTTTTACCTTTTTTATCCTTCGAGATGCCTTACCAATTTGCCAATAATGCCCAACTTTCATTAATTTTTTAATTAGTTTTCATAAATACACAGAAATACCGCTTCCTCGTAGTTGTAATTTACATAACGGTGACACGTTTATGGAGTAATACTGCTGGTCTCTAATTAATTGAGAGGACATTAATTAATTAGAGTTGGCACACGAGAGCAACAAGGATGTTCGTTTCATCTCACGACGATTCGTCAATTGAAACTGTATCAAAAATTAACTTGCCTTCGTGGTGTGAGTTTTCATTGAAGGAAGAAACGTCAGTCTTCCACGTGCCGATATAAATTTGTTTACTCCACAATGTCGAGATTCTAGGGACATATGCGAATTCGGTAATGCCATGGCCAGCTGTTCGTTTAGCTGTTTTTAAATTAAACTAGGGAAATGTGGAAACATTTCCAAGGAGTGTCAAAAGTTGATGATAAAAACGAGGATAAAACAGTAACAAAGATAGTTATATTGAAAGCTTGCATACTCAATGACTTCTATCAACAGTCTCAATCTAGTAAAATCTAAAACTTATTACAAGAAAAAGTTTTTCCTTTCATGGTGTTCGTTCAGCGATCGGCTGATCAGCAACAAAGACATTTGTGTTTCAAGATGGGCCGAATTTGGACGACTGTTACAGATACAGAAACTATCCTATATTCGAGACGAGCGTCTCGACATACTCGAGACGTTCAAAGAAAAACATGAGACATTACTAGAAGCCTATCGAGATAGTCGCTCAGCCGCCATCTCCAATTTATCTTCGACATCATCGAACGTGTCTACAACTGACCAGGAGGCATTTGAGATGTTTTCAAGAAACGCTTCCTTGTTGTGGTTTTTGAAGCTCCTCGTGGTAATATAAATAGGTTTGGGGCGAGGTTGCTTTAGATTTAGATCGCAATGATGAGTTCGTCGTCGCCTATTGAGTGAGCAGCTACTTTCGTGTCCATGATGAGTTCTTTGTTATTAGTGAGTATCACATCTAATAAACCCATGGAGAGCTGAGTTATTCTCGTTGGTTTGTTGACAGCCTGTGTGAGGTTAAAGCAGTTGCAAAAATCCAGTAGTTCCTTCGGTTCAGGTTCGCTGGGTCGAAGTATATTACAATTGAGATCGCCTGATATAAAAATAGGAACATTAAATGACATGGCTGAAGTGAGCGTGAAGTTGAAGTCAGACTCAAAGCAATTGAGGGGTACATCTTCAGTACGATAAGCTGTACAGATAATAAATGACTTGAAGTTCTTGACTTGTACCTTCAACCATAGTTGGTGCAGTCCGGTATCCGATACGTATGATAAGTCAGCAAGTTTAACGCATTTGAAGCTGTTGTTTACATATGCACAGACGCCTCCTCCGATCTTGTAGTTACGGTCTAATCTGAACAAGGAGAATCCAGGAATTTCGACTTCTAAATCAGGGACCGTCAGTCGGTTAACCAGGACTCTGAAATTGTGAAGATATCCAATTTGCGTTCCTTCACGGGCGCGTTTAAAACACGAAATGGCGAAATCACGAAATAGCGAAATGAAGAAATAGCGAAATGGCGGAATGACGAAATGACGAAATGGTACTAAAGATAAAAGCCAAAGTTATAAGCATTATATGGTTCCACGCTCGCAATATTTATCGACTAATGTAAATCTTACTGTTGTTGAATCGATAAAACGATAATTAGTTTTTCGAGGAAATTTGCATTTCCCTAACGCCTAATCGAACGTATTAATGAAAGGTCTCAGCAGACCAGGATTCTTTTTCATTTTATACTTGCCAAGTTGCATATCTGCGCTGCACTACAAAGCTTACCTTGTATCTATTTGATATAAACATCCAACGTCACTCCGTTTCTGTGCAAAGTACATGTTTGCTAAATATTGTGTATAAACTTCATCGCGAAGTGGGTTCGGTTTTGTTAATCCATTTCATGTGATTGCTGGAGCTCAAAGCATAACGTCATAGCCGCTGCTCGATGGTACATACGAGATAAACAAATCGTTTTTTTCCGATGTCAAAACTAAAACGCCGACATTTTGATCAAGAATATCCTAGGCGTTCAAACCGCGCCCTGTTAACAGAGAGAGACTGGAATGTAGATGTTTCTGTTATTTGTCGAGATATATTGGTTATTGACCAAGTGTGAGGTCAAGATGGCTGGATATTGGCCAAGTTCTATTTTTGCGAGTTTATGGAC